TCCCGATTTCCTCATTTTTCAGTGATGCTGAGCACTGGAGGGATCCTGCCTTAAATATTGTGTGGAGCAGCCACAGGAGGAGGAGGAGAGGGCTCCAAATACCCCTCAAAAATCAGAATTCTTGCCACAGGTTCAGGGTCTGTCCCTGCCTGCTCCTGCTACCCTTAATTATTCTTTTTGTGCTTCATTTTCCAGTGCTAAAAATAGGGAGGGGATAAAGAGGAATCCCCCTTGGGCTTGGGTTCTATTAAGCTGTGTTTCTATTCAGAGGAGAAAATCAGAAGTGGAACTGAATTTCCTCAAAGTTAATTCCCAGAGCTGAGCACTGGAGGGATGTAGGTCACTTTGCTTTGTTCTGAGCTATAAATAAATTGGTTTTTCCCTGAAAAGTGGGAGCAGACTCATCCTGGCTGCTTTATCCAGGTCACTGCCTCTGAAGGTAACAGCAGAGGCTCCTGCTGCCACTTCCAGGCTCTGCTTTTAAGGACACATTCTCCAAAATAATTTTTTTTCATGTACTAAGTGTGCAAAACAGCACTGCAGGACATGCACTTGGATTAATTTATATTTTATTATTTTTTAAAATTTAAAATAGATACATTTATATATTTAATACATTTATATTTTCTAATGTACTATTAAATAATTTATTTATGTATACAATAATTTTTATAATATATATTTTATTATAGTCTGTATTATGTATTAGTCTATAGTATTATATATAATTATAACAATATAATAGTATATATATGATTATAATAGATAATTATATAAATATATTTTGTATAATATATATCAGTTACATATATATTATATTTCTATACAATATATATTATATAAATGTAATATATAACATGGTAATATGTAATATGTAATATGTAATAAAGGATATACAATATACTATATATTATATACTATACATTATACATTATACATTATACATTATACATTATATATTATATATTATATATTATATATTATATATTATATATACATTTATATATATATACATTAATATATTATTTTCTATTTTCTATTTTCTATTTTATAGAGATATTTTATACCTCTACAGACCCAGAAAACACATTTTGAGCAGCCTGTTTTCCCCTCAATCATCAATATATTTTTATCCCACCAACACATTTTTATCCCATGAAATATTCACCTTCAAAGAACATCACTAAGGGATCAAGTGGCTTGAGTTTTCCAGGTGTAAAATGCAAAATATTAAGGAGATTCGTTTTGGGGGGGAAAAAAAGCAATTTAAAACATTATTATTATTCTATTATTATTATTTTATTATTATTATATTTATTTTATATATTTGAATAATAACAATGACAATAAAAATAAAATAACAATAATAATAATAACAAATAAATAAATTCAATATTTTAAAATTTAAATTTTTAAAGAAATCCTCAAAGCCTGGCTGACCCTGGAGTTGCTCCCATGGCTGCCAGAAGGTGCTGAAGGAAAAATTAATGAATATTTCTGTGGAACAGCGGCATCCAGTGGGCAAAGAGCAATTCCTGCTGATTTTCTCAGAAAACCAGGACAGAGCCACAAAAAAAGAGAGGTTTCGCCCCAAAATTCAGTGCTTTGCAAACAGTCAATTTTAATTTTAATTTTAATTTTAAAAGAGAAATTAGCTTGATTTTTTTTATTTCAAACAATTAATTTTAATTTTTAATTTTGTTTTTTAAAGCGAGTTTAGCTTGAATTTTAATTATTTTCAATTTAAAAATATTTAGGTTTTCATTTTTTATTTTTTAAAGAAAGGAGGCTTGAATTTTTTGGGGTTTTTTTTAGTCATAAAACATTTTTCAGTTTTATTTTTTAAAGAGAAATTAGCTTGGAAAAAACCCCCCAACCTGACATAACTCAGAGCCTGGATGTGCGAGCTCCTGTTTAGAAAAAGTAAGTTCTAAACAAAAGTAAGTCCTGAATGATCTCAGTATCTATTAAGTGATCCTAAAACTCAAAAAATAAACCCTGAATTATCTCAGTATTTATTGAGTCCAAAACTCAAATTTAAGTCCTGAATTATCTCAATATTGAGCCCAAAACTTAAAAGTAAGTCCTGGATTATCTCAGTATTTATTGAGTGACCCCAAAACTCAAATTTAAGTCCTGAATGATCTCAGTATTTATTGAGAGACCCCAAAACTCAAAAGTAAGGCTTGAATTATCTCAGTGTTTATTATTTATTGTGCTCAGTATTTATTGAGCCCAGTATTTATAGAGCTGAAAACTCAAAAGTAAATCCTGAATTATCTCAGTGTTTATTGAGTGATCCCAAAGTCAAATTTAAGTCCTGAATTAACTCAGTATTTATTGAGTGAGCCCAAAACTCAAATTTAAGTCCTGAATGGTCTCAGTATCTATTGAATGAGCCCAAAACTCTAAGAATGGAATTTCACAATTGGTGCTGCCTGCACTCACCTGCCTCTAATTCATTTTTTAATTTAGATTAACACAAATCTGCCTGGCCAAAACCAAGTTGAGGGAGGGACCATCACTGACCACACTCCCGAATATCCCCCAGCCCTCCCTTTTCCCCCTCTGGCCAAAGGCTGAGCTGAAATGCAGCTGTGTCAGATCAATTCCCTCCCAAATTCCCATTTTTCCCCCCAGTTTGTGTGTTTATCTGGCCTGGCCAACATCATTTTTACGCAACACAGGGGACAGGGGACACCGAGTGCTGCTGCTTTTATCGAGTGCCGGTGACAAGTTTGGTTTTGGGCAGGTCCTTTGCAGCCTGCAGGCACAGAACTCGGGGTGTGACACTGCCTGAGGGATTTGCTCTCCCCAGTGTCACCCAGCCCCAGGCAGCGCTGCTGCCTCGTGTCCTCCTCCCATCAGGGCTGGGCTGGTGATGGGGTGGCACAGGGGACGGTGTGGGTGACCTTGGTGCCACGTTCCTGATGGGTGTTGGTGCTGGCAAGGTTTCACCTCATTTAATCAGGGTTTTCAAGGTGTCTCTGAGCTCATATGGGGCAAAATCAGCGGAGTTTGTGTGTCTTCACCTGACAGGAGAGCGCAAGGTATTAATGCTGGCAAGGTTTTATCTCATTTTAACAGAGTTTTTAGGCAAAATCAGTGGAGTTTGTGTGTTTTTACCTGACAGGAGAGTGCAGGGTATTAATGCTGGCAAGGTTTTGCCTCACTTTAGCAGAGTTTTCAAGGTGTTTCTGAGCTCATATGGGGCAAAGTCAGTGGAGTTTGTGTGTCTTCACCTGAGAGAAGAGTGCAGGGTATTAATGCTGGCAAAGTTTTACCTCATTTAACCAGGGTTTTCAAGGTGTCTCTGAGCTCAGAAGGGCAAAATCAGCAGAGTTTGTGTGTCTTTACCTGACAGGAGAGTGCAGGGTAATAAAGTTGGCAAGGTTTTACCTCATTTAATCAGGGTTTTCAAGGTGTTTCTGAGCTCATATGGGGCAAAATCAGCGGAGTTTGTGTGTCTTCACCTGACAGGAGAGCGCAAGGTATTAATGCTGGCAAGGTTTTATCTCATTTTAACAGAGTTTTTAGGCAAAATCAGTGGAGTTTGTGTGTCTTTACCTGACAGGAGAGTACAGGGTATTAATGCTGGTAGGGTATTAATGCTGGCAAGGTTTTACCTCATTTAATCAGAGTTTTTAGGCAAAGTCTGAGCTCAATCTGAGCTCAAAAGAGCAAAATCAGCAGAGTTTGTGTGTCTTCACCTGTCAGGAGAGTGCAGGATAATGCCGGCAAGGTTTTACCTCACTTTAGCAGAGTTTTCAAGGTGTTTCTGAGTTCATATGGGGCAAAGTCAGTGGAGTTTGTGTGTCTTTACCTGACAGGAGAGTGCAGGATAATGCTGGAAAGGTTTTACCTCACTTAACCAGAGGTTTTAGGCAAAATCAGTGTCTTCAACTGGCATGAGAGTGCAGGGTATTAATGCTGGCAAAGTTTTACCTCACTTAACCAGAGTTTTTAGGCAAAGTCAGCAGAGTCTGTGTGTCTTTACCTCACAGGAGAGTGCAGGATATTGCTGCCAAAGTTTTACCTCACTGAGGTGTCTCTGAGCTCAGCAAGGACAAAGTCAGCAGAGTTTGTGTGTCCTGCACCTGACAGGACAGAGTCACATGAACGCTGTCATCACTGTTGGCATCACAGACGTGACACAAACGCCTAAATTGCCTCTGAAGGTAATTACAAAAGGAGTAGTCCTGTGATTTAAGGTTCAAGGCCAGGCTGGATGGAGCAACCCGGCCTTGTGGAAGGTGTCCCTGTCCAAAAGGGGGCTGGAGCTGGGGGATCTTTAAGGTCGCCTCCAACCTGTCCATTCCACGATCCAGGTGTTTAAATTCACCTCTGGTGGCACTTCAGCCACCCACGATCTCGTTCCAGGCACAAGGCTGGGACAGGAGGAGTTCAAAAAGGCATGAATTCCCTTCATGGAATCACAGAACGGTTTGGGTTGGATGGGGACCTTGGAGATCACCTCTTTCCACTCCCTGCCACGGGCAGGGACACCTTCCACTGTCCGAGCTTGCTCCAAGACCTCCAACCTTCCATGATCCCAGCCTGCTCCAAGCCCTGGCATTGAACACTTCCAGGGATGGGTGATCTACACCTCCCCTGAGCGACCTCTCGCAGTGCCTCACCCCCTTCACAGGGCAGAATTCCCCCCTAATATCCAACCTAAACCCACTCTTTTAACATTTAATTCCGCTAAACCAAGCACTTGTTGGACTGAGCGATCCTAAAGACCCCAAACACGCAGCCCACGAGCATCCCTCCCTCATTCCCTCCAGCGGGCTGCGCGGCCGCTGCGCCCGGGCAAACCGGGCACTGCCCCGACCCTTCCCCTCACCCCCGAGCCGGGCCGGGCCTGGGGCTCCCCGTAGGCACCCCTTGGGCTCCCCGCGGGCTCCCGGGAGTTGTAGGCGGAGCGCCCGGAGCGGAACTACGGCTCCCGGCTGCCCGCGGGAGCGCAGGCGGGGCGGCCCCGGGGCCGAGCTGCGGCTGCGGCAGCAGCACCGCGGGGACGCGGCGGCCGCGGGGACACGGCCCGGCTCCGGTGACACGGCCCGGCTCAGGGCAGCGGGGGTTTGCTACAGCCACACCGGGAGGTACCGGGATAAGGGCGGACCCCAGCCCCGGTGCCCGGCTTCACCCGCGTTCTCCGCCCGCCCGGGCGCCGCTGTGGGCATGGAGGAGGGACGGCGGCGAGCGCAGCGCTGGGCTTGTGGCTCTGGGGATCCTCGGCTCTGCCTTGGCGCTGAGGTACGTGCCTGGCTTTCCCCGGGGTGGTCCCCTCGCGATGGGGCAGCTGGAAGGGACCGGGGTGGTTCTGGCTCCTTTACCGGGGTGGTTCTGGTCCCTTTAAACGGGATTGGGGCCGCTTTAGCCGGCGTGGTTCTGGCCCCTTTACCGGGGTGGTTCTGGCCCCTTTAAACCCGGGTGGTTCTGACAGCTGTAGCCGGGATTGAGCCCCCTTTACCGGGGTGGTTCTGGCAGCTGTAGCCGGAATTGAGCCCCCTTTACCGGGGTGGTTCTGGGAGCTTTAACCTGGGTGTTTCTGGCAGCTGTAGCCGGGATTAAGGCGCCTTTACCGGCATGGTTCTGGCCCCTTTAACCCGGGGGTTCTGGCAGCTGTAGCCAGGATTAAGGTCCATTTTCCAGGATGGTTCTGGCCCCGTCAACCGCGATTAAACCCTGCTTTAGCCGGGGTAGTTCTGGCCCCTTTAGCCGGGCTGGTTCCAGGACCTTTAGCCGGGATTGAGGCCGCTGTAGCCCGGGTGCTTCTGGCAGTTTTAGCCGGGCTGGTTCCGTCACCTTTAGCCGGGAATGAGGCCGCTTTAGCCCGGATGGTTCTGGCACCTTTAGCCGGGATTGGGGCCGGGCTGGTTCTGGCACCTTTAGCCGGGTTTGGGGCCACTTTAGCCGGGTGGTTCCGGCACCTTCAGCCGGGATTGGGGCCGCTGTAGCCCGGCTGGTTCTGGCTGCTTTAGCCCGGCTGGTTCTGACATCTTTAGCCGGGATTGAGGCCAGTTTATCGCGGGTGGTTCCGGCACCTTTAGCCGGGCTGGTTCCAGTACCTTTAGCCGGGATTTTAGCCGCTGTAGCCCGGGTGGTTCCGGCACCTTTAACCGGGATTGGGGCCCCTTTATCCCGGGTGGTTCCGGCACCTTCAGCCGGGATTTGGGCCACTTCAGCCCAGGTGGTTCTGGCCGCTGTAGCCGGGCCTGGGCCCACCCGGCCCCGCTGTGCTCCAGCCCTGTCGGTGTTTCCCTGAGCTCCGTCCTTTTCCCGGCCGGTCCCGCAGGTAAGGCCGGGCTCAGTGAGCCGGGAGCGCTCATTCCTGCCGGGAATTTCGTTTTCCCTGGAGCGTGTGGGGAAGGAAGCTCGGAGCTGAGGCACGTGTGGCTTTTTCTCTCCCGTGTTTCTGTATTTCCAGTCTGTGAATGGAGGCCACACTAAACCCAGAATAAACCCGGAGAAGTTGGTGCGGCTGCACTAAAGGCACTGGAGGTGTTTGCTCTCATTTCACTGCCCATGCTCAGCTGCAGAATTACTTTCTGAATGTCACAAATTCTGATTTCCACCTCGCTGGGAAGCAAGCGAGCCCTGGCTCACCTTCATGGAGGTCACTTGAGCTTGGCTTTACTGCTGAACCTTCTCTCTTTTTGGCTAAGAGCCTCATGACATCCTCTGCACTTCTCTGTTGCTATAGGAGGAGTGTATTTGGCTCAAATGAGATCCCATTTTCATTTCTCCTCTGTTTAGCAACTCCCTGCTTTCCTGAAACTGCTTGCTATGGAGAATGTTGCAGTTGTTCATCCTTCTAGGACCTTCCTCTGTGCTTGATTACCTGTTGAGTTTTTCATTCATGGTTTCAGGATTTGGAGGAGTGAATTGTCAAGGGATGCAGCTGCTGTAAATAACCCACATCCCCCATTTTTATGGTGGGAATGCTGCTGATAATGGAGATGTGAAAGGGGAAGCTTCCACAGCCTTGGCAGAGCTGGAGAGGTTCTTGCCCTGCTTTGAGCTTTGCTTTCTGCTCTTGAGTTGTAGGTGTCTGTGTTTGTGTCTGGAGCAGGTGATGTTTTTTTGTTCCTTTAAAAAGTTCTTTTTTGACTTACAGGGCAGTGAATGGGTGTCTCTGTGTAGTCTCAGCTCTGCCACTGGTGTATCCTCAGTACCTTGTGCCTGTTTTTCAAACTGATTTAATTCTGTGCTGGAAGGGCAGGAGTTCTTTAGGGTGCCCGCAGCGTTGTTAACAGACTGTCATTTAACAGCATCACCACAGGCTCTGTTTTATTGAAGAGTTATTTCCTTTTTAGGCTTCACAAAGGTGATTGTGTTTCCCATGCCTTCCTCTTTGCACAGCTCTGTGAGTCACTGCCATCAGAAGGAGCTTCATATCTGTGCGATACTTGGCTCAGCACAATTCTCTGCTTATTCTGATTTTGCTGTACAGCATCATATGTTTTGACATTTATTTTGAGTGCATGTTTGGAGCTCCGTGCCTGCGAAAATCCTGTGCCAGATTCGTGCATGAAGAATCTGTTATTCTCCTGCTTTGCTCTGCAATGGGCACTGCTGGGATTGTTTGGAAGAACTGGGATGCCTTTTCCACTGAAACTTTGTCAAACGTCTGGGAAACTGCAGAAAAAAACCCGTGGGAGTGCTGTGAGTGTGGTGGTTGCAGTTGTCTCCTTCCCTTTTTCTGGGGAAGAGGGATGTCCATGGCTTTTTCAGCTGCCTTGATGTGGAGTGGGTGGCTCCAGGAGCACAGGATGCTCAGAGCTGTGGCTGCTGCCTCAGAAAGGAGCTCATCCCCTGCCTGGTTTGGTTTTGCTGCTCACAGAGGCTGCTCCTGGTGGTTTCTGCGGAGTTCAGGCCTTTGAGGTCGTGTTGTCCCTGCCTGTTCCCATCAAATCTGTTTGCCCTGCTCCAGAAGTGCTCCTGGGCTCAGGCAGGATTCAGGGCTGGGCTGAATGGCAGCCCTGCTCCTGCCCTTTCCCTTCAGTTCCTGTTTTCCAGGGAGAGAATGGAGAGTCCTGTTTGAGTTCTGGCTGTTTGTCAGGGATTATAACTTGTGGCTTGTCAAGGGCGTTTTTGGAGGGGCCAGAATCGTAATGCAGTGTTCTCTCACCTTTCCATTGCTCTCCCTGGAAGCTCTGATGGGAGAGAGATCATTGAATTCTCCTTAAACAAAGAGAAAGTGCAGTCTGTTGTTTTGTGGGAGACTTGCAGAATTTAAATATTTCTTTTTCCCTCTGTACCAGTGTTTGAAATTTCCAAAAACACAGAAAAAATCCTCCAGAATTTAGTTTGGAAAATGGAATCAGTGAAGTTCCATTGATGTGCTGGCAGGATATTCAGCTGATTGATCCTGGACCTTGAGCCACGTTCCCTGATGGAATCCCAAGGGAATTTAGGGGTTGAAGCTTCCTTCCTTCCTTCCTTCAGCTGATTGATCCTAGACCTTGAGCCACGTTCCCTGATGGAATCCCAAGGGAATTTAGGGGTTGAAATTTCCTTCTTTTCCTGTGACCAGGCTGTGGACAGCAGAACTTGGAGTTGGGATGAGCTTTGTTCCTGGCTCTTCCACCAGTCCCACGTGTACCTCAGTTTCCATTTCCCATCTGCAGGGTGCTCTTGGATTCTCCAGAATCCCCAGAGCACAAAGAAAACATTTGAATCTGTGAAATGCACAGACCCGGGGGTGAACTGATGGACATTTTGCCCCTCAAACCTTACTGAGTAAGGAACCAAGAGCTCCTCCTCACTCTGTGCTGCTCCCACATGGCTGCCTGGCCAGAGGCATGTCAGCAGAGATTAGATTTGGAGCTCCTGATCTGCTTTCAGAGCACACAAAGGGCAAGTTGCAGGCTGACAGCAGGCAGGAGGGCAGTGCTGACCCTTCTGGGAGCCTCAAGGGGAATCTCAGGTTGGCAGGATGAGCTATCAAGGCTCATCAGGGATCCAGCAGGTTTTATGCTCCAGCTGCCTCGTGCCTTTGGAAAAATTGGAGGAGGAGGAGGAAGAATTGTGTTCCTAATAATCCCTTTGTGCCACCCTTTGTGCTGAGGGTCCCAGAGTTTAAACACCTGTGAGCCACACCTCTGTTTCCTCAGCCCCACTGTTCAACCCTCAGGACATCAGAGTTAATTCCTCTTGATTTTTAACTTTTTTAAACTCCTCAGAGTTTAAACACCTGTGAGCCACAGCTCTGTTTCCTCAGCCCCACTGTTCAACCCTCAGGACATCAGAGTTAATTCCTCTTGATTTTCTCACTCCTGCAGTAAATCAGGATTTTGATTTTTGAATGACTTTTGGGGGACACTGGCTGACTTTATGGACAGACAAGGCAATCATGTCATTAAACTTATGAACTTTTAAATGCTTGAACTGAGATTTTAGTGGTAAATAGGAATTGATGGCTGGTGTGAGGGAAATGCTGAGCTGAGCTTCACCAGGGCTCCACACCATCAGCTCTGGGCCAGATGGTCTCCTTGCCTCTGAGAAATATATTAGAGCAATGTCAAGGAAGAGCACAGCTGAAATCCTCTGCCAAGACAGATTTCTCACTGTTGGAATATGTTTCTGTCTGATCCTCTATTTCTAGATGATTGAAAATAGTTCTGGAAGGGATTTTGCTGAGGCCACCTAGTCCATCCTTCCCCACAAGGCATGATAAAGTGCACTGAAACCCTTCCTGATGGATCTCTGAGCTTGTTTGAGATTTTCCAGCTGCCCTGGGTGGTTGTATTTGACTTTATTAAACTGGGTTTTTTAATATTGTGGCTTTGTCACTGCTCTGGGCCCAGAAAAAAGGGATGCAGGTGGTTGATTGTTGACCTCTTAGTGCCAAGGGCCAGAAAAGTGATGGTGATTCCTGGTAGCAAATGCAGAAAAATCACTCAATCCAATAATTATTGTGGGTTTTGTTTCTTTTCCATAGAGATCTTCCATGGAAAAGTTTAAATACCATTCTCCCATTTTTTTCTATGCAAAGATCTTCATTCCAACTTAGGAAATAATTCGGGGTTTTTTTCCCTTAAACATTACCTAGTGGTTGTGTGTGTGGGCAGGGGAGTATTTGTTTTTATTGTGAAGCAATATAAATTTAACTCAAGAGATCTGCTGTTGAGGAAAAAGTGGTTTAAATGCTGAAGAATCACTCAGTGCAATAATATTGAGTTTTTGTTTCTTTCCCACAGAGATCTTCTATGGAAAAGTTGAAATACCATTCTCCCCTTTTTTTCTATGCA